AGCAATAATCCTAACCCCCCCTTCTCCTATCTTATAATTAATTGTAAGAAAGTGAAAGGGGAGCAAAGAAGATACTCTGAAGATACAGAAGATACTACAGAAGATACTCTGCTTCTGAGCTTGAAACATTACAAAACATTTAGCATATTCAAACACTTCACATCCGAAACAATATTTCCATGCTCAAAATAAATGCTTCAAATCCAAATGATTTTCGTGCCCCTATTATGCGCTTTACTTACATAAAATGCCCGGTGTCTGTCGGTTTCTCTTCTGCTTTATTGAGCTACTGTTTCTTAAACTGATAATTATCAAGTATTTAATCACCTTACCTGGCCCACTTGATAAAATAAGGAAGGTGGTTTAGCAAACTAAAGGTGTAGAAAGAGTAACGGACGATCTCTGTGATAGTCCAGGCAACCACAAAAAGAAGGATGCTATCTTCACTTTGCACCTATAAAAGTTAAATGCAGCTGTTGAAAGGGAAAAATGAATTATATATATGATGTAAAATATCAAGCCATGCTTATATTCTTTCACCCCAAGGAGGTGAACCATACCATACAAATCAGGCAACATGAGGCTTCGAGAAACCATCCTTCCAATGATTTCAAGCTGTGCACATATAATCACACCAATTCATTCTTCTTTATTTTTTAAAAGCCACCTCAGTTCTCCCTCCAGAACAGACTACAGGAAAGTGGTAGTTTTAAACTGATTTTTGCCTTCCCCATCAAGTAACGCTGAAATGAAGTCTTTTAGAAAATTAAAAATGTTGCACAAACGAATCTTCATTTTTACAATATCAAGTTCTGATTTGTATTATTACTCCAAAATGAAACAATTAAAAGAGAGCAAATGCAGCAGAAAGAAGGAGTCTGTGTAATGCATTGTTGTAAAGAATTCTGGGTGACTTCAGATTAACACAGCTCCTGGCTCTACCAGTCAAAAGATTCTGTCTTTGCTTAACAGATTTTCTATAATAAGAAATGAAAGAAATTAGGTGAATAAAAGGAGGGTTCAAGTGGAAAACATTCTTAAGAATCCCTATAAAACTTTCTATTAGAAGCAATTGCGTAATAAAAGCTTCATCTGGAAGCTATTTCTATCGTATTATAGAAAAGGATAAAGATTAGAAGAAAATTACGCCTTTGGACCAGAGGTCAGTAACATTTGTTGTCTTTTGGGAATTACTGCACACTCGGATGCAATGGCTCAGGTGTACAAAACAAAAGAAAGAACTGGCTGTTTCGTAACTTTAATTCTAACTAATTATCATCTGTGACTTTATATACAGTATATTGTATCTGTGTCTGGCTGATAACCTATCCAAAATGTTCTACAGTCTAGGAAATCAAGAAAAGGATTGGATTCTGTCCCTCAATATGGAAGAAAAGGTAGAACTGCTGCCATTTCTCTCAAAGTTTCTTTGAAGACTACCATTGCATACTGAAATATACTGCATATGGGTAGTCCTCAACTTACAACTGTTCGTTTAGTGACTGTTTGGCACTGAAAAAAGGACTTAAAATTGGGACTCACACTTCTGACCATTGCAGCATCCCCATGGTTGTGTGATCAAAATTCAGGTGCTTGGCAACTGGCATGGATATACAATAGTTGCAGCATCTCACAATCGTGTGATTGCCATTTGCAACTTTCCCAGACAGGTTTTGACAATCAAAATTAATGGGGGAACCAAATTCATTTCACAAACGCATGGTTCACTTAGCTGTAGTGATTCGCTCAACCACCATGGCAAAATTAAGTACACCGGGGCAGAACCTTAGACGGGAAAGAAGTTCAAAAGTAATATTAGAAAATATTACTTCACAGAAAGAGTAGTGGAAGCCTGGAACCAACTTCCAGCGGAGGTAGTTGGTCAATCATCAGTAACTGAGTTTAAACGTGCTTGCAATAAACACATGCCCATTATCTGGCAAAAATTAAAATAAATTAAAATGTTAAAAATAATAATTAATTAAAAAGAAAACAAAAAAAACCAAAGGGCAGACATGATAGACTGCTAAGTCTTTTTCTGCTGTCAGTTTTCTATATTTCTTTAAAAAAAAAAGGTTGTAAAATCAAGCATGACTCACTTAATAACTGCCTTGCTTAGCAATTGAAATTCTGGTCCTATTGTGGTCGTAAGTCAAGGACTACCTGTACTGTACTGAAACTCTCTGTACAGGAAGGGAGGACTCTAACCTTAACCCTCATCCCTATTCTTCATTGTGGCGTCTGTGACATACATATGGGGAATCAACCAGCTAATCTATCAGAAAGAAGGGGACAGCTAAAATGATAGCTAGAAAAAAAAAGTGAGCCTTGCCAATCCCGTTTTGTTGAAATTGAAAGCTCAACTGATACCGTCAAATTAATTAGGAAGGCTGAAACTAGGAGACTGACAGAGCTTGGATAAAAAAGTGCTCCACAAAAAAAGTTGCTAAGATGAACAAAACCTATGTTATAGTGAAGTCTCTTGAACTGTTTGGATGTTCAATATTTCTACATAAATATGACCTAAAACTTGAATACTGAAAATTCAAAAAGGTTCATAAACTTTTAAGCACAGCTGTAAGTGGCCTTGAACTTTCATAGTCACTTAACTAGATCAAAGAAAGGATTAAGAGCTGCCACCACTCTTCTTTAAAAACATTAAAATGAAAATGAAGTACCTGGCTTTGTGCTAACATAGGAAATGAACAAGTGTGGATTCTTTTAAAAAGGATATGATACTGTTGGAGCAAAATGCAACAGACTTCCTAGTGTCAAGGGCGTGAAGAAACTACTCAAGGAGAGCTGTAGAGTATTAAAAAAATCTATGAAAAAAAAAGTTGTTCATGTAGACGAAATCCTGACACTGCTTTATGCAAAAAGGAAACAACTGGTCATTTAGTCCATATGAAAAAAAAAATCAAAATTAGAGTTGTATGAAGAGAAAGAACAAGGTTCATTGGTATTATATGTCACTCCAACAGGAAGAGAAGACAAAATACAATCAAGCGTGCAAGTTTGTTATGTCTCAATAAAGTATCATTCTAGTCTTCTTGAGGAGTCTGTTTCCTGTTCTGAGCTACCTCTTAGGGTTGACATCAATCTTGTAGACCTGATTGTGTTCTACTTCAGGATCCTGCCTGCATATCTTCTGATATGATCTTGTTTCCCAGGGATTTAGGGAATTTTTTAGCCCTCTTAGTTTATGTAATTGTTGTCTATTTCTCTCAAGGTTCCCTCATTGGCTCTCTAACAGAAACATACTTATTCTAGGAGCTTGGTCAGACAACTCTCCCTCTGAAATAGATTCAATACAGAATATATTTGGGGAGCAGAATTTACAGCTGGTTGTCTCACCAAATCATTTGGATAGTACAAAATAAGAGAAATGGAGGAAAGAATTGAGGGAGGAACCATATCACTTGGTACCAATAAAATTGGGTTGATGAGGAGTGTTTTAAGGTAAAAATTGGCCGATGCAGACAAGACTCCACTATATGGACTTTACCAGGGCAGATAAGATGAGATAGATGGGACAGTTCTCTCTATAAAAGAATAGTTCAAATGACATCACCCAAGTAACCATGCGACAATGTTTGAATAAAGAACAATGCTTTAAGATTGATTTCTGAGCTAGAGAAGAACAGTCAATGATTCTACCATTGTGATGGTCAAAAGAGTACTCTGGCTAAAGTAATCAATATTTTGTATCAATGACACTGCTGTTAACAATACAAAAAGAAACTTTGGTTTAAGGAGACACCTGCATTTTCAGAAACAATATTAAATTAACAAATTACAGGTTCTAATTTCTTGTACTATTAAATACGTCAATTGTAGTATCATTGTATTACCTTTGCATCGTGCAGGGAGAAGAGACTGATATCCTCATGTTACTAGTAATTACTGAAAAAGCTTTTATTTGCACTTAAACTTTCCCTCTGTGCTATTTTTTTTTTTAAAAAAAACTTCATACAAGACTGTAGGCAGTAAATTTCATATCATATCAGGCTCTCATTATCCCCTTAGTATTTTGTTAAAGGACTACATCTTATGTCACCTACTGCCACCTACTGGGCATATGATGAACACTGTTTTACATTCCACTTTTCCAATGACAAAAGAAATGAACTAAAACAATGGCTACTCAAGATCGGCTAATGACTGGAAAACCATTTTCAGCACCATTCAAAACTAATAGCATATTAGAGCTATTATAAATAATTAATGCTGTTACACTAACAAATAATTCATAGCTTAAAATGAAACACAGCTATCCCTACATCCACAACCAATAGCTGGTTTTATTTCTCTCCGATGTCAGATACACAAATATTATTTCTTTCAAAAATAGTCCTAAGAAGGAAATTCATTCTTTACTGTTGCAGAAATAAAGAAAAACAATCAATCAAAATGTAAACATATTTACTTATTGTACTTATTTCTATTCTGCCTTGATCAAAATCACATTTGGTGGCTTACACAAACCAGTTAAAACACCCATAGCACAACTTCTAAGAACAATAAAACTGTACCAAATATAAGAATGAAAATAATAAAAATAGTGGGTTCCAACGGCGTGAGAAAATCAGGGGAAGGATCTCTGAAACAATTCTATCTTTAGTAGCTTCCAAAATGTCAACTGGGAGGGGGTTAACCTGGTCTCTACTGGAAAGCTGTTCCACAGTGTTGGTGCTGTCACAGAAAGGCAGAGCCCTCCCACTCTCAAAAATGTGTGATAAATAACAATCACTCTCTTTTTATCTGATCAGCCGGGCCAGTACTGGTGGGAGTAGGTGATCATACAGATATTGGGTACCAAGTATTAAAGGGCTTTATAAGTTAAAACTAGCATCTTAAATTGTACCTGGAAAACTATTGGCAAAACTTGTCTTATTTGCTGATGATATTGGAAGATAGGAAGTAGACAGCCTGCTGCATTTTAGACCAACTTTGGACCAACTTAAAGTAGTCTTTAAGGCCCAAGAGTGCATTATAGTCCTTCAATCCACCTGGATGGTGATAAGCTCTATTTAGGCCCTCCTGCTGCAGGTAGGGTCACAAATAGCATACTAGTTGGAGTAACAAAAACTGCTGCTGGGTCCAGTAAACCAGGAGGGATACATTACCACCATCCAAGTCCTGACAAAGGTCTTCTAAGAGAGTGGCAAATGTTGCCTCCATACCAAACCTGGAAGCAGTACCCTGAATGAAAAAGTTCAGGTGATCTCCTTCATCAAGAGAGCTGCAAACATATTCTGCTACCATCAGCTCAATAACTCCCTCCCCCCAAATTTCATCAATAAATCTTCGTATTGCACACTATCAGGTTTTGATCAATAACATCTGAAAGGGAAATTCACTTGCTTTTTGAGTCTTTCAGCAATACCAAGTGATATTTGTTTTGCTAAGCAGGTTAGCTGTAAAGGTGTAGATTAAGCTAGATCAGGGGTGTCAAACTCGCAACGTCACGCGACATGTCGTGATGTATCGTGACTTTTTTTGCCATTGCCGGCAATGGGGTGGGCGTGGTTTTGCTATGATGCATCCTGCCCACGGGCCGGCATTTTGATACCCCTGAGCTAGACTAAATCAGTGAAATCTCTACTCTCTGTTTTTAAAAATCATAAGATCCACTGGGTTCATTCTGCCCCATGAATCATAAATTGCCCATGAAGCCAATATGCAGAAAGCTAATGACATATGAGTGTTCTGAGTAAAAGCTTTGGAGTACTGGACACTAAGTTTTTTTCCCACCAACTAAAGATTATGATAATAATGTAAAGATATTAAAGTTAAGCAATGCCTTATCTTTAAGCAATGCCTTAACTTCCAAGAAAACAAAATATAATCAAGCCTGCTTAACTACTGGTGTGCAATACCCTTGAGTGCTGACACATTGTGTTCAATCTGGCATGACAAGCTTTTGGCTTTAATTGCTTGCCATACTTATTTAAAGGAAAATCACACAAGGCATCCCTATCTTTGAATCATTTTTATCTTCCCTAATGAAAAGTAAGAAAGCAGGATTTAAATTAAAGAGTGGCAGATTTTTTCTTGAATTTCAAGTGTTAAAAGAGGGGGGGGGGAGAGACAGGACAAGCTAACAATGTTATTATCTTAGTAATAAGAACAAGCACATTCTTCAAGCATCATTGGACTCATGCAATTAATATTAGAAGCTAAACATCAGAAAGCATCCAAGAAAACATTTGAAGAACAATCTGCTATCACATATTTGATTTCAAAACAAATAATCCCTTCATTAGACTGGCAAATAAATTAAAATAGCTTTGTCTTGTTTGAGAGAAAATTATCTTCAAGACAAATCTGAACAAAATTATTAAGAGTCTCTCATTAAAAGACTTGAAAAACACGGGGAAGAGTTATGCAAGAGAGGAAACACATGCATCTTACAACATCCTCAACAGATGAACTTGTTCAAAGAACTCAGGTATGTAGACAGCCTTTCAAAAAAAAATGTAGAATATTTTCATAACAATGCAAGTAACCATTTTTTCAAAGAAAACAATATATATGTGTCTTTCAACCCCTAGCCTGGGCTGCTTAGGTAATCAATCAATAAAATTAAATTCTACTACAGCTATAATTTTAATTTTGAATGTTTGTATTCTACAATCGAGTTCTTTCTATGCCATCATTAAGATACTGGAATTATTTCTAATCATATGTTTAAGTTTTATTAGTATTACAATAGTGTATTCCAATGAAATCTACATTAAAGTTGCTTAAGGGTTTTGAAAAACAGATCCTCTCTCAATTCCAGACTACCTGGAAATTGTAAACTAAGTTACTTAAAAAGATATTTTCCTTTATATAAGTTTTTTTACTGGGAGCTGCTCAGAGTCACTTAGAAAGGTTTCTGGCCATACAAATTGAATAAATAATAACTTTGGTTTATGAAAAATTGGATGCAGTAAATGAAACCAATGAAGTAAAAAAGGTAAGTGTTCATATGAATGTTGATTGTCCTTTCCAAACAATGAGTTGAATAATGATACCTAGTTCTTTTCAAGCCTACTGAATCTGACTTGAGATATATTAAATGGCAACAAAATAATGTCCACCAAAAAGTATTCTAAATCTAAATTACATGTCCAGGGTGTTGAAATATGACATTTAAACCAACAGTATTGAAAAGGTTATTTGTTTACCGCATGTCTACATGCACATTTGATATCAGCAAAAGAGATTATGTCCACAGAGAACAAAAATAGCAGCTTTACGATAAAGGATGAATAAAATAGTTCACTCTCAACTCACCTCTTTTACACTGTGGGCTATGCCCCATGTCAGAAAAACTCTTGACATGATTTGGAAAGCAGTCAAAACAACAGAAGAAGGAACAATCCCTGTAAAGACAATTTAGATTTAATACATTTTTGACCTCCTAAACCAGGGGTGTCAAACTCGCAACGTCACGTGACGTGTCACGACATATCGTTGACTTTTTTTCCATTGCCAGCAATGGGGTGAGTGCGGGTTTCAGCATGACGCATCCGGCCCATGGGCCGGCAGTTTGACACCCCTGTCCTAAACTATCCACCTACCTCTTAATAGTAATCTGATTTGGAAAGAGACAGTTTTATGAAATTAATTTTAATGTTTTAATATTAAAATATTGTTAAATATTATTTTATTATTGCTTTCAAAATTTCTTTCATGGGTGAATTTTGGATCAGAGATGAAGACGTAAGGCTTGCTATAGCTTGATCTCAAAATATGCCAAACTATGATTTTCAAGTAATAAATCTGATAAACGCATGACTAGTTTTCCTTCTGATTATCAGATGCCAGAGCTAAAACAACAGAAGACATTATGTTCCACACAACATACTTATATGAGATTCCTAGATGCTGGTGCCAAGCACAGAAGGAAACAATCACCCAGTAAGACAATTACAACAATAGTATTTTCAAATGACATTTTTTGTTGAACAGTAAACTCTTATTTATGAAACAGCACTTATCTCAGATAGAAAGGGACAATGTCATATCTGAATAAATGACTAGTGAATATTCAACTGCTTATGACATATGAAGGAAAATATATTTTTCCCCAGTAATTTTATTTCCATGACATCAATGATTGTTTAGGGACTATAATTAAAATCCAAACATTCCCACTGAAATGTCTGAATAGCACTAGCTAATTAATAACTCTGGAAGAGGAAATGAAAGATTTTTCATGTGTAAAATTCATGTATTTCTATAATGTAGTTTAACACTAGTAATATAAGTTCTCGGCTGTAAACATTTGTGCATACATAAAGCACTATTTCTAATTCAATTGTATTTCTCTCAATCAACATAATCAAATTTTGCTTTAGATTTTGTCACTGAGTTATTAGATGCATACATGTAGAAAGTTTGTCTTTGTATAACAAATAATAATAAGAACCATGCTAGGTGTTGTTGTTCCTGCACATCTGGTAACATGGGCTACGGGAGGTGCTATATAAATCTAACACATACATATACAAGATAGTGAGTGATCCAGTCTCCTCTGCCAGACCCAATTTTTTTTTCCCTTCCTGAATGGTATGATTGCCTTACTAGAAACCGGGCAAGTATTGACCCTGCTAAGGAACCCATCTTCAGTACAGGACAGGGAAAATGCATCTATGGCAGCAATCCCTTTGCTAGAGATTCCAGCAGTACTGGAGTCAGCAAGCCCACTTGTTCTGACAGACTCTGCAAATTCACAGGACCCCTCAACTGTTTCCCCTGATAGTAACAGACTCAGATATTTCAGCCCCTTGGCCTGAGGCAGAGGTCCTTCGTGAAGATCCAGCCCAGAAATGCACAAATTTGAGATTGGCCAAAAGGCATGGGGGGAGGGGGGGTCCAAGAAGCGAGCAGACTACTATCCAATGAGTGTCAGCTGTGGACTAGGCAGAGATTCAGCATGGCTAATTAATGGCCATCCTTCTCTTTCAACAATGCTGGGGACAACTTAGTTAAAACTCAGCTCTTGCTTGTGACTATCCTGACCTTAACTCTTTCTCCTTTGGATTCCCCATCTGACTGGTCTCCATCCCTGTTGCCTGTTTGTCCCAGGACAATTATCTCTTCTCAGAGGTTCTGCAAAAAGACTTTTTCCACTTAATTGCAACAACATCTATTTCTAGCCTGGCAATTGAAATAGCATGCTCATTTGCTTTCTAGCAGCCAGGTCAACTATTAAAAAAAGTGTGTGTGTGTGTGTTTTACTTTGACTTTCCTGTAATGAGACCAGAAGAACAGAAAATTGGCTCAAATTTTCAACTTGTAAGTAAATTGCTTTAAAATGTTGCATTTTATTTCGGCAAACCTTAATGTTTATACCTAACAGTTGCTCCATAAGCAGTATACAACAGAAGTAGGCCAATTTTTATTATTAACTAATTAACACCATAACAAAGGCTGTATCTCTATACAAATTGAAACAACTTCTGTTAGTCTGAACAGGTAATTCTTACTTTGAGAAAACAGATTTGCATATTCAAATGCATGTTTAAAACAGAAATAAGGAAAACCAAATACTGAGAAACTGGATGTATGTCATGCTATATACAGTTGCTATTCCTTAATGACTGAGCACAGAATACGAGCAGAATTCCCTCGCCTTCCAAAATAGAGATATTGAATATTTAATTAAAAAACTTACCTACTGCACAGTGCACGATCTAAAAAAGAGTCAGAAATAATTAAGACTAGGCTTCTCACATTTGTAATACGATTTTCTTTACTACAACAGCATCATGGATTATGACTAAGAACATTGTTCTTAAATAGTATCTCCACCAGTCATTGTTATCATAACATGTATCTCTTATCTGTTCAATAATTTTGTGCAATTTTCATGTCATCAATCACTAAATTCCTCACCTATAATTCTGCTATGCTGAGAAATCACCTTTCAGAAAACTATCCATTATTAGAGGAACATTGACTTTTATTTCTTTTAAATCACTGGGACGCTCAAACATTCATTCTTCCTTGGGTATGTTCATGAGACAATGATCATTGTCAGTTCAGAACTTCTTCCATGAAATAAAGCAATCCCTGTTCTCTATGCATTATTGGAAAGAGAAGTGAGTGACAGGATGGAAGATCTGGCAGTTATATGAGCTACTGCTGGGATATCAGAACCACCCTTAAAAAGAATTTAATTTTCCCTGTGTGTGTGTGTGTGTGTGTGTGTGTGTGTATGTGTATGTATATATATATGCAGGTCTTGGCGTATTCGGGTCTTTTCCCGTGTAAGGTTGAGAGTATCTTGGCGACGTTTCGATGAGGTCCCACTCATCATTTTCAGGCTGGGGTCTTCGGCTTCGTGCTTGTGCAAGCAAAGTGTGATCGGAGCTGCCGTCTCTCTATAAATATTGATGGGTGTGTGTGGAGTGCTGGCTTAGTTGCTGTAGGTAGGTTGGTTGGCTGTGTGGGAGTTATTGTTTGCGGATTGTTTGGCTGTTTCGTAACATCCTGAGTAGTTGAAGTGCTGGCTGTGTGCCCATTAGTCTTTTGTGTTATAACGACCTGGGTAATGGGTTGTGTGATTACATCCTGAGATCTAGTGTAGTGATATCCTGAGTTTTGTGTTGCAACATCCTGGGTGGTTGGCTGTGTTGTAACATCCTGAGCTTTAGTGTTGTAACCTCCTGAGTTCTGTGTTGTGATATCCAGAGCAGAAGGCTGTGATGTAGCATACCGGGCTTTGGTTTGGCTCCGTGTTCGCGGTCTAGCTCTGTGTTCATGGCGTGTGTCCGTTTGCTTTGTGTGGGGGTCGAAGGGAGATGCAGCAGCTGGTGATGTCGTCGTGGTTTGGCTTCTGGATGGTGGTTGCATTTCATCTGAGGAATGGGTTTGGGCTTGGGTTTCGGTCTGGTGAGGGTGAATGGTGGTGGCGTACTGTGTTGTTCTGGGTCCGGTGTCAGTTTTCGTGGCTAGGACCCGTTTGTTAATTAGGGCTAGTTTCTATATATATATCCTATATATATATATATTCAGATTTCTTTTTGCTGACAAGAGTTAAAGATTTAAGTGGGAGACTAGTATAGCTATTTCAGACTCATTTGTCCTCATCAGCTAGCCACACCCCTGAGGACTGATGAGGACAAATGAGTCCGAAATAGCTATATTAGTCTCCCACTTAAATCTTTAACTCTTGTCAGCAAAAAGAAGTCTGAATTTGTAATGTATCGCAGTAGCGACTTGAACCTGCTTAACGCCCCTAGTTGGGGGGCTGCAAGGCAAAAGAGATTGTAAAAAGCAGAACTGCAGTATAGCAGTCAAAATGCCAAAGGTGCAATCAATCAGACCGTCTGTCTGAAAAAAAGGGATAGTAAGTAATTCAGCATTACAATATAGGAACAAGTCAAAGCGCCTACGGCAGTGATGGCAAATCCTTTGAGCTTGACGTGACAAAAAAAATCAGAAAATGCCCACCTTGACTCTGCTGGCATGTCACACATGCATCCTAGAGGAAAAAAGGCTTCTCCAGACCTCCTCTTCAGACTCTCCTCTCCTCTGGATTCTCATCTCTGGATGCTCTGAAAGTTGTGTGATTTTGGGACGCCTCGGAGTGATGTGAGTTTCAGAGGGTTTGCAGGCTTCTCCAGACCCTTTGAAAGTCATGTGGGATGGTTCTGAGGCCTCTGGAGCCTCAGGAAATTGTATGAAAATGAGAATGTGCAATTTTTGGAAGTCTCGGGCTGCACAAGAGCAAGGCCTTCTTGCACAACTTCCAGAGGGTTCCTGAAGCGTGGAATGTCACCAAAAACGGTATGCCATGCATGTCATCTGTGACATACATATCATAGATTTGCCATCACTGGCCTAAGATAAGAAGACTTTCCCTGTGATACACCTACCTCAAGCAAAGCTCCAGTCTGGAAGAATTTCAAAGGCTTTTCTATTGAATGATAGAGATTATGATAGCTACCCGTTGCAAGGTATGCTCTGACTAAACCAACTGCTATAACAAGCCACCTAGAAGAAAAAGAGACAGGAAAACAAGGTGATGTTTTTCTTGAAATGCCAATATTCTCCATCATGCATGCAACAGATACCATGAAATATTTTAGGAGTAATATAACCTTCTTAAAATAAGCGATTCAGCATTATATTCCACTGAGATAGAAATATACTTTACCAGTCTGGTTGCTGAAAAAACTGCAAATTATAGTCTAACAGTTACAACTGCGAAGCTAAAAGTGGGATTCTTTTAAATATTTTAAACAGAAGTAAATAGCGCCTCTATTAACTGAAGATTAGGAATAAAACTGAATCTAAAGCCATTAGGTTTTGTTCAACTGATAATGATTCGCTCACTTCTCCAACACAGAACTCACATATGAAGCTTAACTATGTCATCCAATGTTGTATGAAGAGCAGAGTACAATATTAAATGTCTCCAAGGAAACAAAATCTGGGTGCACACCATCAAATAAATTGTGTACTACTACTACTTCTTTACTAGCTACTCTTTACTAGAATCCAATAGATCCAATGAGACTTACCAAGTAATTATATACACTTCAAAGGCTTATTTTGTTAGAAAGAAAGTTGGTGTTATGCATTTTTGGGTGTTGGTGTTATGCATGTCAGCCTTTTTGTAAAAAAAAATAATAACCCGATAGGACCTGGAAACAAGGGTGAGCAGACATAGCATTAATGGGAACCCGACTGGGACTTATCTTCATTTAAAATTACTATTTAGCAATCTCACAATGAACCAACTTAGTCACATTCATGGGTATTTATGGCAATGAACGCATAGGGGAAAATCAGGCGGCACAATGTTATGCTGGCTTTAGATTTTTGCATCTCGGAACTTCAATTAAAATATAAGGCTTTAAAGCAGGGGTGTCAAACTGCCAGCCTGCAGGCCGGATGCGTCATCCAGAAGCCGCACCCACCCCATTGCCGGCAATGGCAAAACTGTCCTGATACGTTGCGCGACATCACGTGACGTCATGAGTTTGACATGTCTGCTTTAAAGATATAAGGCTCCTGCCTTGAGCAGGGGCTTGACCAGAAGACTTCCGAGGTCCCTTTCAGCCTTATGATGCTATGTTTCTAAAAGCAGAATGTATTCAGCTGATATTAGAGATAACATTGCTAAAGAAAGCTATTCTATCCAAATTAAAGTGTCACAAATTTGTTATTGAAACACATCTTTATTTTTAAGAAACATCCACTAATCCCTGGGAAAGCAGAGAGTTTCAGAAGTTTAGAGTACTTTTGGGATGGATGAAAATGATCTGCAACTTAATACAGACAAGACAGAAACTGCTGATGGGAAAATATATTTTAGCTAGAGCTGTTAATCCAGTTCTGAATAGAGTTGCACACTCTCTGAAAGTTCTAAATCATCATTTGAGGTCTTGTAGGAATTACAGGATTGCGAAAGCTGTGATAATGACTATATTTGTGGAATTAGGCTCACTAAGGTGCTTGCAGACATTTCCCATTTAATACCTTCTGGCCTACAGTTATAATCTGTCAGGAAGCTTGATGTCCTATGTCCTATCAAGTTTTCTCACTATCACTCTGATTCTCCAAAAACTCCCACTTACTATTACCAAATTTATTTGCTGCCCATCTTGCAGTTCAAAGCGACTCTGAACGGCTTAGCAACTTAATTTAAATTGTGTATTAAATGCATGGATTAGTGGTGCATCAGCATTGAGAAACAGCACTTATTTCTCACCACATGCAAATATATCCAGAGTAAATAATACTTTAGTTGGCACACAATTCTATAATGACAGTGATCACTGAACAACCTCTTGGCTGTTCTTTCTTTACATAGCAATAAGATGACAAAAGAAAGAGATATGATCCAAAAAAATGGTTGCAAATGATGCTGATTATACTGAAATACAACTTGCTGACATTTAGAATGGACACATGCCTTCAAAAATCAACCAATAGACACACCTTATATATTCTGAGTAAGTTGTATGTTCAATCCTGGCACCTTAATGCTGTATGTACTATTGTAACACAAACGTTTGTAATGCGCCCCAAGCATATCAGATTCTAATTACTGCTTTATTATTTGAGTCTAATAATTATTTATACAGTGCAATTCTATAGGCAAATAGAAAGAAAAACATGGCACATAGGTATTTTAAATTATTAAGAAAGTGGTGATGAAATACCGTAGCCCCATTCAATTTAAGGAGTTAAAGAAAAAGTTATTCCCCAGATAATCCAAAACATTGTCAGAATTTCTTTGGAAAAATGCCAAATGCCCAAGGTTAATCAGCACCATACTATATTTTAGACTTCAAATGCTTTTTTTAAAAAAAATCAAGAGCACTACTTACAATTCTTTTCAGCTTTGTTACTGTAAAATCCTTCTAATCCCTCTACTTTTTCCCACCAACCAAAGGTGTGCTTTACCTGTGACGTTTCCATCCCTAAGAGCTGAATCTAATATTTCTAATGAGAATTGCTTAAGGTTTGCCACAGGTACAAGCTAAATGACCACAGCATGTTCCAGAGCCAGCCTAATCTGAACGCTTCAGCCTCCGCAATCGCCACCCGTCACTAAACTGACATTCCAAGCCTTGAACAAATTACCATCT